GTAAAACAGCTGAAAAATTCCACAAATTTACACTTGTGCCATATCTAGAGAGCAGAATAGCCTAGAAACTTCATAGAAAAAAGCACCTCGCAACACCCAGAGCATCCTAACAAGGATCTAGTTATTAGTTAATGTGCTTGCTAATGCTTTTGTGTGTCTGAGCAGGTTTTCTGGAGAAGAATCGAGACACGCTGCACGGTGACATCATTCAGCTCGTCCACTCCTCCAAAAACAAGTTCATCAAGCAGATCTTTCAGGCGGATGTTGCTATGGTAACGTCTGCATCTCATTTATAGACTTTACTATAAGCACTACATTATTATCTCCACGCTCCCTCACAAGTGAGTAAGACATTATATGCTATCAGATGGTAATACCATGGTACTTTGATATAGACAATTGTACTGTACGATTACTATATTCATACACCATTGCACTTCAGAAAATATTGCAGTACTATCTTAAAACTGTGGTATTACCGTAGTACTTTTTGAAAGTGAAATACCTTTGAGAATTAAAATGGATTTTTAACATTAAGGATGGACTGGTTACTGTACATGCTTCCCTCTTTCTGTGTTTGTGAAATGTGGTGGCAGTTTTTGTGTGGTTATGTGTCTGGTGGCAAACCAGGTTCACACCATAAGGTAAAACCGTGGTAAAAGAGTAGTAGTTTATAGTAACTAATGCATAGTTGATGCTGTTAACAGCACATTCGCTGCACATGCTTCCAGTGTTCCAGTTTGCTAATATGAAATATGAGTGAGTATTAGTGCTTATGTATGTCATGATGCATCATTTTATTTTATTTTATTTACTAATAAATTAAGGTGAAATAAAAATTACTAACCTTATACTATAGTGCTATTTCTATTCTAACTGATCAGATGTTTGCCTGGTAGATGATGTAATGGGCAAATTACTTTTTTCAAAGTTTTTGAAAGAAATCTCTTATACACACCAAGGATGCATTTTTGGGGTTAAAAAATACAGTAAAAATGTGAAATATTAATACAATTTAAAATAACAGTTTTATACATGAATATAATTTTAAAATGTAATTTATTCCTGTGATGTAAAGCTGAATTTTCAGCATCATTACTCCAGTCTTCAGTGTCACATGATCCTTCAGAAATCATTCTAATATGCTGATTCACCGCTAAAGAAACATTTCATCACTTTTTTATGACACAACCCTTTCCACCTTTTTTGTTCTCCCAAGTAGACAGAAATAATTTGACCTGCATCTCTCCAGAAAATATATCTGTCAAACACAGTTCCTGATGTGGAACCATTTCCCGTTTGAGGGTGAAAGAAAACAAGCAAAAGCTTCAAATCAAAATGACCAAGCCGTTTCATGACAGGTTCACCCTAAAAACAATCCTGACCTCTGCTCACCACTATTGCTGGCCTTCTTTTTTAAAGTGCATGTTCCTCTGTGTGTGTGTGTGTGTGTTTCCTGACACACAGGGGGCGGAGACCAGAAAGCGTTCGCCGACCCTGAGCAGTCAGTTCAAGCGCTCTCTGGAGCTGCTGATGCGCACGCTGAGCGTCTGTCAGCCGTTCTTCGTCCGCTGCATCAAACCCAACGAGTTCAAGAAACCCATGGTGAGCTAAACCCGCATTACTGGAATGCTAAACCATAACTTAACTGTAGTTAATGGAGAATGACACTTTCATAACTTGTCAGTATAGAAATTATGTTGGCAGATTTTTTGCTTTTAAATGTTGCATTTATTTCCCCCCTCTTATTTTATTAATTATAATAACCTCTGTAAACATTGCAAAGATTAAATAAAGTTTTACTAATGATCATTTTATGCACGTTTAGATGTTATGTTATCATGTGATCTCCAGCTCTTCGATCGTGAGCTGTGTGTGCGGCAGCTGCGGTATTCTGGGATGATGGAAACCATCCGGATTCGCCGGGCCGGATACCCCATCCGCTACACTTTCGTTGAGTTCGTGGACAGATACCGTGTTTTGATGCCTGGAGTGAAACCTGCTTACAAACAGGTGAGTTCATGGACTCCAGGAATATAGTATTTGAGGCTGATATGATGTAAAATAATAAAAGAAAAGAAAAGGAATTCACTGTCTACAGGGAAAATGCAGTGTCCTATAGTGTGACTATAGTCTTTATGTACTACATGTTTTTCACATGTAAATGTCATTGTTGTGTCCTTAATATCCATCGTTTTGTTCTGATAAAGTCTTTGTGTTGGTTAATGGAAATTGGACATGACATTTTTATTTTATTTTATTTTTTTCTAAATTGTACTGACATCAAAGAACATTTTTTCCCCTTGTATTTTAAATATGAATGCACTGAAAGTAAATAAGACAAGTCCCTACTATTAATTAATGATGTGAATTTATGTTAAATTATGTTAAACCTACAGTGTGATAATTATTATAATATGTAATAATATGAAACAAATATAATAATATTTAAATAATAGTCTTACTAATATATATATATATATATATGTTGATATATATGTTGATATGTGTGTATATATATATATATATATATGAACATTTTACAATTTATGTGCACTACTGTATTAAGTCTACTGTATTTTTTAAAGAAATTAATATTTTTCATGAATAATTAATTATAAATCAGGAATAAATTACATTTAAAAAATGTATTTGCATAGAAAACCGTTATCGTAAATTGTAATAATATTTCACAATATTACTGTTTATATTGTATTTTGGATCAATTAGCGTAAGACTTCTTTCAAAAACATTACAAAATCATTCTGACCCCCAAACCTTTGAATGGGACTTTCTTTATATACTAAAATATAAAATAAAATATTCTTATTCTTTTTTGACAATTTTGGGCACTTTTTCCTTTAGGAGGACCTGAGAGGAACCTGTCAGCGTATCGCTGAAGCTGTATTGGGCCGTGATGATGACTGGCAGATGGGAAAGACCAAGATATTCTTGAAGGTATTAAAAAGAGGACTAATATTTTGATAAAACTACCAACTACTGATAAAAGGATAAGTCCATTTATGAAATTTTCTTCACTATCAACAGCAGAAGGGAATATTTAAATAATAAATAAAAACTCTCTGATTCTGTGCTTAGTTCCTGGAAAAATAAGCTCGTTGTTGTTGCTGTTAAAAGCGTGTCGGGGGATTTTATGCAGCAGAGTCAAACTCAAACAATATTGACCTCAATATTCTGGTGTTTTTGTGCTGCCGGAAATGCTGCCCTCAGCCAGAGGTCAAAGATCAGGAACTAGCTTGTCCATTACTAAACTGTCAGGGCCAGTTTTCCAGGCAGTGGGTTTTATCACACCTTCCAGCTCCCTGAAACAGGAAATCCCACTGGGCAGGAAGGAAGAGAGGACAGTGACAGGAAGTAAGGACACCAGGAGGATCAGGAGAGATCCAGATCAATATGAGGCTTACTAAATGATCTGATGATTAATGGAGCGTCACAGGAGTCTGTTTGAGTTCATTTAGATCTCCTTTAAATGCCTCTCTACGTTTGGCAGGACCATCATGACATGCTGCTGGAAATCGAGAGAGACAAGGCCATAACTGATAAGGTCATTCTCATTCAGAAAGTTGTCCGAGGATTCAAGGACAGGTAAGAATGACTGCTGATGTTCAGTTTGTGCTGCAGGAACTCTGGGGGAATATGCTAAATATTATTAGTTTAGTTGCATACGTGCTCTGTGTTGTTTGATTCGCCTCTGCAAATCAGAAAAGAGCACAAGTACACCACAGAAATCATTTGATCATCATTTGATGAATTGCTGCTGACGTGATCGCTTTAAATTAGGTAAAACATACATGCTTTTTGCTTTAATTGTGCCAGGAAAGAAGTTTTGACTTTTTTGATTAATGGGCAAACTATAATGTGCTTCATTTGCATAGAAAGGTTTGCACTGAAAAGCTGATGATATTTTAATTTAAGAACCCATGTCACAAATTTATACCAGTGCAGATAGTACCTGTTTAATCTAGCGATGCACCAAAATTATTTTTTTTTTACCGAAACTGAAATTAAAGTTTTCATTTAGCTGAAAACCAAAATGGAACATAGTTTCAGTAAATAAATTTAACTAAAAATGCTGTTCAGGGTGTTGTGTTCTAGTTGTAATAAAGTTCTTCAACAGTGAGTCACCCCTCAATAATTTACTTTTTTGATACTTTTTTTGTTGTAGATTTTTGTGCACAAAACAGGGTTGCCAGATATGTGTAACAAAACTAGCCCAATGACCAGTCAAACCAGTCCAAATCCTCAAAATACATATTTTACAGTCACTGTTGTGCATTACACATCATTTCAACTTGAAAACGTAGTAATCATTAAGATAATATGGTTTCATAAATACCTCAAGATTGACAGGCGGTGAATAAAATCTTTGGTGGACGTGGTAATCCTTTATTTGGATTGGTCTTAAAACTATAATGCTCTAGTTTTAAGATCTTGTTCTGATGCTAATCTTCTCTTTCTTAGTCCTTGTTGTACATTTCTATGGAAGGCTGTTTCCGCCACTGAAAAAAAAAAAAAGGTTATTGCGACTTTTTATCTCTTTATTTAAAAATTTTTTTTTATTATTATTCAGTGGCGGAAACGGCCTTCCATACATTTCCCTATCAGTCATCTAGCACATTTTTATCATAGGTAGAAAATAAATTTGCATAAATTATTTTAATACAAGCATTTCAGTCAAAAATAATTTATGCAAGGCTTCAAACCTTTAACGTATGAAAAAAATCAACCATTTAAAATAATTAACAGCCCAATTTGACTTGGCACACATTCAAAACACTTCAATGGAGTTTTGGTCAATGATTTCAACCCTCCAGAACTATTTCAGCTGAAACCAAATTATTTTCAGCCAAAATCTCGGTGCATCACTAGTTGCAGGTGGTTCATGATTAAAGGTTTGTTCACAAAGAACGGTAACTATAAAGAGAACGATATTAGCATCCGTACCAAAAAAAGTGTGTACGCTTTTTTTCTCGTCTGCTGCTTTAAGTGCGCCAAGTTAAAGGGTTAGTTCACCCAAAAATGAAAATTCTGTAATTAATTACTCACCCTTCGTGAGATGATCGACAAAGTAGATCTGGGTCAGTGCCGCCACACGCTCGCGTCATGATACTGTCGTGAACGAGCGTCCACAAGTGACGTAGTAGAGACGAAAATGTGGAATAAAGTCATTATTTTTGTTTTCTTTGCGCAAAAAAGTATTCTCGTAGCTTCGTAACTTTACAGTTGAACCACTGATGTAACACGGACTACTTTGTCGAACATCTTGGTACTTTTCTGGACCTTGAACGTGGTAGTTACCTTGCTGTCTATGGGAGGGTCAGAGAGCCCTCAGATTTCATCAAAAATATCTTAAATTGTGTTCCGAAGACCTTTAATTCTGACTGCAGTGTTTGCCAGGTTTTCACAACAAACCCGCCCAATTGCTACTCAAAACTAGCCCAATCGCGTTTCGAGGGGGGGGTCCCCCGATAAAAATTGCATTCCGGGGGATAAAATACACGTTTTTTTGGCAGGGTTCCCCTAGTAAAATTCGCAGTTTAGGGGCTAAATATCATGTTATTGGGGTCTCTTCAACCTGCGGACATGGAAAAACAACCAGCGGCAACAGTGCTAAAGTAGCCCAATTCCGCGGGAAAACTGCAGACTTGGCAACACTGTCTGACTGGCTGTCAATGTTTTTATCGTTCATCATCTGGAAAAAAAACAATTCTGGAGAGTGATTCCGATTATATGGCTCTTCTGTGTTGTTATCGTTATAGTTGCAGTGTGGACTTTCCTATCCTCATAGAATTAAAATGATTATTCAAACGTTACAGTTATTATAATTCATTATCATTATAGGTATTATAGATGTTTTTGGTGTGATCGTTCCTTAAGATGCAGGGTTTTGTGCTGAAACGTGCATCAGACATAATTAAAAACATTGTCATGTTTCCCACAGATCCAACTTCCTGAAGATGAAGAAATCAGCCATGTTGATCCAGAAAACATGGAGGGGTTATTACTGTCGGAAGAACTATGGAGCGGTTGGTCTCAGATATACTCATGTACAACTATGCACAGTTGCTGCACTCACCAGCAGTATCTAACACTCATTTCTTGTCTCGTAGATGCGCGGTGGTTTCTCACGTCTGCAGGCGTTGTATCGCTCTCGCAAACTCTACCAGACGTACCACATCGCGCGACAGAGAATCACTCTTTTCCAGGGCCGCTGCAGAGGACACCTGGTGCGCCGGGCGTTTCGACACCGCCTCTGGGCCGTCATCACCATCCAGGCGTATACGAGGGGCATGATCGCCCGCAGACTCTACAAAAGACTTAAAGGAGAGGTGAGAACAGCTGGATTTATTTTTAGCTATCCACATTTTTACTAACGAGACTAATGCATTTTAAATTATGTGAGGCACTTCCAGCTTGGGGAAGTTCTACTCAAAAAGAGCGAAACGAATCATTTCAAATCATAAAGTTGCACTACAAATAACTGAACGAGCTGTAAATGTTCCTTCATGTTCTTTTTTCAGACGTCAGGAGAATAACGTAATGCTTTGTATTTTAATGTAGCAAGAGGAATATTTATGGCAAGAGCTCTGCTCACTCTGCTGCATCTTTTTCCTCTGATTATTTTCTTTTTTCATTTGTTTTCTACTGTAACAATATGAAAAAAGACAACATGTACTGCGCATTTGTGGTCTGCTCTCCTTATTTAATTTACAAGATATCCCTTGAATAGTTCACTGGAATGCACTAAGAATCTTGTTTTTCTCCCCAAATCCTCACATCTTTTTTTTTCCCCAAACGGATGCTTTAAAATGTCTTTCACTTCTAAATTCCTATTAGCAGTGTTAACTGGAATGTTTCTAAACCAGGTAAATGCAGTATTTGTTATCTGCAAAAATTACGAAAATCACTTTGAAATATCACTCAGTGCTCCAGTTAATGATCATTTCTGATTTTTGACCAAAAATTTTAACTTTTTGGCTTTTAGAATTTTCACTTCATCGGAATGGTATGAAACTTAAAAAAAATTTTAATTTACAAAATTTACGACAGTTTAAGCTCTATGCTCAATAAGTGGTCAAAAGGTAATAAATGGAATAAATTAAATTCCATAAATATAATTTAGTACCATAAAATCTCCTAAAAGTATAAAATATTAAATAAAAACATTATCAAACTAAAGAATAGTACATTCATTTAAAGGCAGGGTATGTGATTTTTCAAAAACACTTTAGAAAACTGATTCGGGCCGAATCGCAAAACAAACTTGTAGCCAATCAGCAATAAGGGGCGTGTCTACTCGTGATGTGGA